GGGGGGGGGTCAAGACAACGCTATACGCTAAATTTTGAGAGCCGGCTACGTATTACGCAGAATTCAAGAAGCCCCTCTACGCTCTACGCTAAATTCAAAAGATTCCCGATGCACTATGCAGAACTCAATCACCCAGTGACTGCATGTTTGCGTCAAACCTTTTGATTTATCATATGTAGAGGTGACAAAACAAGAATTAAAATACTTTGCCGGGAGAGACGTTTCGCCGCATTTATTGCGAGAATTTCGCACATCTATGCCAAACGTTTTAATGGGTCGCCGAGTGCACGCATAGTTCTTATGAGGCAAAGTCCCTCGGTGGCATAGCTCTCGTTGCTCCTCGAAAGAAAATTAACGCGACAGCTTCAGAAGTCTGCGAAGCAAGCTAGGCGGGGCGGTGGGTGTCCGAGCGAACGCCTCGGTTTCTATAGCAACGACCCCACGTCCTTTAAGACGATGATCCATCACGCTGACCCAGCAGCGTTCCTTCAAAAGGAGTTCGGCATTGAAGAAATGCCGACCCCGACCTGGCTGTTTACATAGTGGCCAGTGGGCGAGATGGCACCGAGAACAGACAAACAACTCAGCTCCAAGCAGCGATCTGCGAATGGGGCATACAGGTCATCGAAAAAAACGATACTAGCTTCTTTCTTTAAATGGGTTTCCCTCCCACTTCTCATACTCATAGTCCCACTCTCAGTGAGTCTAGCCTGTTGCCAGGCCAGTATACAGGCCAGCTCCTCGGCTCCAGAGCTAACCTGGGTGCCAAACTGTTGCCAGGGCCAGTATACAGGCTAGCTCCTCGGCTACAGGGCTAGCCTGGGTGCCAGACTGTTGCCAGGCCTATATATAGGCTAGCTCCTCAGCTCCAGGGCTAGCCTGGGAGCCAGACTGTTGCCAGGGCCAGTATACAGGGCAGCTCCTCAACTCCAGGGCTAGCCTGGGTGCCGGACTGTTGCCAGGCCAGTACACAGGCTAGCTCCATGGCTCCAGGGCTAGCCTGGGTGCCCGACAGTTGCCAAGGCCACTATACAGGCTAGCTCCTTGGCTCCAGGGCTAGCCTGGGTGCCAGACTGTTGCCAGGGCCAGTATACAGTCTATGTCCTCGGATTTTTTTAAAGCAAAGAAAGATCAATACAAACTTAACTCCTTTTGTAGCCGACTGTTTTCAATATTAAGCAACTGAAACGATTACGTGTTCATTTGATAAGTCTCGCCTACGCGAAATGTTTCATTTTTGCAAATCATGAAATCTGCGGCTGTTTGCTTTCATGTTTCATTTTTAATTTCATTCAGTCGAGGTAAAACTTCTTTGAGTCTCACGCTGCGCACAAACAAGTTATTGTTATTTAGCACCTGCCCGGTGTAGGACGTGTTTTGCTGTCCAGAAACCTGACAAGTGGCAGCATGAAGAGAGGGCAGCAGCAGTGCCAGACTGGTGAAACAGAAGGTATAGCATCGTTTTGCATCATATTCCGTAACTCATAGCTTTCCTGGACACAGCCTACCCACGTCAAATGGACCCAAAAACGTCGATAGTTCGAATCACCCAACATGCATGCCTATAACCTGCACTTAGTCTAGTTTACCATGCGCGTGCACGTCGTGTGAGCGGCACAGTCGGGATTCGAACTCACGACTTCTTGGTCAAGTTGTGATAAGACTTTTCTTTTAAGATTGGGCTGTCAACAGTCCTAGTTATTCTGCAAAAAGACTAAGAATGACCATAATTTTTCCCCAGGTCCCATGCAGCAGCAGCCTGAGACTGATAGGCAGTCCGTTGCGGACGACGGTAAGGAAATAACTTTCTAGATTTTTAAGTAGCAAAAGTCTGTTGCTGTTTTGCTTTGATGAACCTTTGATACAGACGCCTTCGATACTATATGATTTCAATATTAATGAATATGATGCAATGTGTTGAAATATGATTTGAAAAGACAACAAAATACACTTTTCAGTTTTTTAGTTTTATCTATCAACTTAGTTGAGCGATCTGCCAAATCTTTAGACACTTGACAGTCGAAATAGAAAGGAGATGTTAGCGCTAGCTACTCCCCTATGTCTGTCCCTGTATTTACCTAATGACGCTAAAAGATCAGAGGTATGCGGCTTTTTTTTTGGTTTTAGTTACATCAGCATCTAATGTTTATTTAAAACACGTACATGTAGTGGCGAGGGTAAACATAAATATTCCTGTCTTAACAGACGCCTACGATACGCCACGTAAGTGTTGGCGCCTGCGCAACAAATTATGGCAGATCACAGGTGCTGTGCTCACGGTGGCGATCGTCATTATGTTGGCTTTCTTTTTGGGTAAGTTTCTCCAACTATTTGCAGAAATATGAACGCATTGTGTTTCAAGAATACGTTTCCAAGCTTCAATTGCAATGTTGTATGGTTGCCATGTTTGAAAAAAAATACTTAATAATACTGGTATATGGTACAAGACGGCAATGACATTTTTCTCTTGTCTTTTTGAAAAAGTCAAAGCCATCAACTTGTCTTGGAAATATTTAATTAAAAGCCTTGAAAATGCTAGCGCTGGTACAACGTTACATTATCATTATGATTCCTAATTATGTAAAATCTATTGACTTTTTTCTTGTTTTTTTCTCCTACCTGTATTCAATGTAGTCAAAGCCGCGAATCAGTCTGCGGAAATGGTGAAGCAACTTGAGGACATGAAAAAGCAGAACCAGAAGACCGAGCTGCGAGTAGCCGAGCTGGAACGTTAGTAACTAGCAGCTTCTTATATCGGAGAACTTTAATTCACCTTTTTGTAGTTGTGTAATTGTGTGTAATGAAACCATGTAACTCTTTTATGCTCACGTGTGCAAAGTAACCTAATGCTTACTGTCATCCATGTTTATACATCCAACAAATGTTTTTGATGTTTCTACTTGTATGCTCCATGATTTCTCGCAAGCTTATGATCAAATCTATTTTCCAGAGACATGTGTTTCCTCCGGGAATCCAGGGTTTGCCGGGCCTCCCGGCCCTCCCGGCCCTCCAGGCGAGAAGGGGGCCATGAGACCAGTTAGCCCTGTGTCTACCGGGCCTCCTAGGCCACCTTGCCCACCAGGCGAAATGAGGGTCATTTGGTCAGTTAGCCCCGGCTTGGCAGGACCTCCTGGGCCACCTGGCACACCAGGCAAAAATGCGGCCATTGGGCCAGTTGGCCCTGCGTCTACCGGTCCTCCTGGGCCACCTGGCCCACCAGGAAAGAAGGGGGGCACTGGGCCACCTGGCCCTGTGTCTACCGGTCCTCCTGGGCCACCTGGCCCTCCAGGCAAAAATGCGGCCACTGGGCCAGTTGGCCCTGCGTCTGTCGGGCCTCCTGGGCCACTTGGCCGACCTGGAAAGAAGGGGGCCACTGGACCAGTTGGCCCCGCATCTGCTGGGCCTCCTGGCCGTCCAGGAGAGAAGGGAGCTACTGGGCTAACTGGTCCTCGGGGACCAAAGGGATCCCCTGGGTTCCAAGGGCCACCCGGACGCCCGGGACAAAAGGGTGCAATCGGGCCTCAGGGGCCAAAGGGACCCCCTGGGTTCCAAGGGCCACCTGGACGCCCAGGACAAAAGGGTGAAATGGGACCAACTGGGCCTCGAGGCTGCTGCAGTGGACGTAGGGCATCAATTTGTCTTTGACTAAGCACAGCTTGATATGACATTTGGCTTTTTTGATGATTCATCTCTCTACTTAGTTAGTTACTGTTACTGTTCAACTTATTCCATCGTTGCCATTTTAGGGCCCACTTAGATGTCTTAGAAGATAAACACAAGCAAGTAATCACAAACATGCCTTTAACTAAGAAGCTATGTATATTGTATTTAGAACGCAATTCAGGCAAACCAGGCTCGCTAGTTTCTCTCTCAATACACTTGAACTTCAAACTTGATTATGTTGGTGCTGGAATTGCAGCCATCTGACTATCACCTTTATTTCACTTAAAGCTGTTTTAACACAACGCATTTTCCCCAGCTTGTCCAAAAGGTTATCAGAAGTTCCGTGGAATCTGCTACAAGGCTTTCCTCACTCCTACCAGCTTCGACCGAGCGAGCGAGATCTGTCGTCGAGATGGCGGCACCCTCGCCATGCCCAAAGACGCTGAGACCAACGCTTTCCTAATTTCGCTGTATAAGGCCTCTCGCTCTCATAGCGTATTCAGCTTCGGCCTCTCCGATCGGCGCAAGAAAGGGGTGTTTGAGTGGGTTGACGGCACTCCCCTTCGGGGGTTCACCTCGTGGGGTCCGGGAGAACCAAAGTTTGGTCAGGCCGGTCAATACTGCGTCCGTTACAGGAATTCAACTGGCAAGTGGTTCGACGCATATTGCGCTCTCCGGACCAACTTCATTTGCCAAGTCACCCCAGGTACCGCAAGCGAAGATCATTCCTATTAATCAAAAATGGAAACTTAACTGACAAATTATATCATTCTTACAATGTTAACTAAGGGTTTCAGACTTGCGAATGTTTCAAACATTAGCGCTAGGAGTATCGAAGCAGTCAAAGGATTTCCTGGGGGATGTTATTCCTACATGGTTAAGGGTTTCACAGTTGCCATTTTTTTAGCCATTATTGCCACGAGTGCTGAAGCAGTCAGGAGGAAATCCACATTTCATTGATGGCAATTTTTTTTTTGTTTTCTGTTACAGAGTGTAACTAGGAGACATGGCCGAGCGCTCAGCGCCACTGTTCTCTGACGATTCTCTGTAAAACTGGACAACTTGAAGGTAGAATACTTAGCAACGACACGCCAAAGTTGACTAAATAACCAAACTATCAATATGAGTGACTATATCACTTAAACTGTAGTCCAACAGATCACTTTGTAACTATGTGGATAGACCGCTGAACTTTTGTTGAAATCGCTGTACATGTTACTTTTTACTTTAACAAGTACATAAATGTGATGAATAATCAAGTGCACTTAAATGATTTTCCTGTCAACTAGTTTCTTCCCTTGAAATGTCAATTAGCATGAAATAAACCCTTTGTGATAGTGATAATGCAATAGTAATGTAAATGACGGAAGGAGGCCGATGATGATGAATGTAAATGTAATAGTAAAATATCATTAACCTTGAGTAAAAATGTGGTTCAAATTTATAGAATTTTGTGGGAGGTTTGTCCTATTTCAAAAGTAAACTGATGGTTTAAACAGGGGAACATTACCACCCTAATAGCCATAGCCAATTGCAAATGGTTCTGAGCAAGTGCAATGTACTGCTTGTATTTTTATCCTCCAACAATTCTTTACAATTTATGTAAATATTCTAAAATCTTACGTGTTTGAGGAAGATTGTGGCCCACTTAGTTGAAATACTAAATTCATAGTAGACAACAATGTGAAAGTTCTTAGAATTGTAATGATTGAGGGAATTGTAATGTAGAATGAAGTGTTTTATACCTGAGTGACCAGTAAGTTTCAATTCTTTTAATGAAAAGCCACTTATTTCGTAAGAAGAAGACTCAAATAACAAATCCTTAACAACTATGATTATCAATCACACAATGACGTCCAGATGCAATATCAGTGCACAAGAAAGTATGTACTAAGGGTCATTGGAACAAATAAAGGAATTCTGATTTTACGTTTTTTCGTTGGGTAGTTCCTTCATTTTTACTGACTGGCTGATTTCCAATAGAGCCTAATATGAATTCAAAATAGTTACTATGAGCACATCCTATGATTTCATGTTGGAATAAAAACGATTGTCTGGATAACGTTTTAATACAACTAAGTTGTGGCTATGAGCTGCAGTGCATACAATACTTTCTTCGGTTGTTGTTTTGGTAAAATATCAATTCGTCTAAACATTCAGAAGCATTAGATTTAGTTTTAATTTTCAAGTGTTTCTCAGGTTTGTACGACATAGATATTGAAAATTTCCTAATCTTTCCACATCCCTACTTGAGGGCACATAATCTGGCCAAACTGACTCCAAGTAAATGCCATACAACGACTTTTAAGCACTCTTTTTTCTTAAGAATTGTTAACATATGGAATGCCCTTCCAACAGAAATCAGACGCCTCAGGCTAACTCCAAATCCATCAGTCAAACGTTTTAAACAAGCCGTATCCAAACACTACCTACATTTACTGTCCACCCATTTCGATGTTTACAACATTAGTACATGGTTTAACTGCTAACAAACTTAGTCATCCATTATTTTTCCGCTCTACAGCCACTTCATCATTATCATTATCCTTTTTTTTATCATTGTTATTATTATTGTTATTCTTATATTTCATACTTTGTATACTCATGTTTTTATTATTTATTATTTGTTTGGAGGAGTCAGCCTTGTCAAAGGATTACATGTATATCCTGTTTGCTGACTCCTCCCAGCTTCTTTCTGAAAATCCCAATAAATAAATAAATAAAAAAGCCATGTTTACTTGTAGGAAGACAATATTCTCCGTATACTTAAATAAGGTATAGCGTAACTATTTTAAGTACCAAAATGACATTCACATAGAATCATGTATACTCATGGAACCAAATAAAGTATAATGGAAATTAGATTTAACTTTTCAGTTTAGTGTTCACTGATTGCCCAAGTACATTGTACATGATTTTTTTACATCGCTTTTTCGGGTATTGTGTTTACTTTCAGAAATTATTGCTTATGCTTAACATTTAAGAGCAAACATTTTTTAAAGCAAAGAGAGATCAATACAACAGTAACTCCTTTGTAGCCCACTATTTTTAATATTAAGCAGCTGAAACGATTACGTGTTCATTTAATAAGTCTCGCCTACGCGAGATGTTTCATGTTTTCAAATCTTGCAATCTGTGGCTGTTTGCTTTTATCTTTTACTTTAATTTTATTCAAACGATGTGAAACTGATTTTTAATATGTAGATTATGTGTTCATTTGATAAGTCTGCTTCACACGAGATGTTTCATGTATGCAAATCGTGCAATTTGTGGCTGTTTGCTTTCATCTTTTACTTTTAATTTCATTCAAACGATGTGAAACTGCTTTTTAATATGTAGATTATGTGTTCATTTGATAAGTCTGCTTTACACGAGATGTTTCATGTTTGCAAATCGTGCGATCTGTGGCTGTTTGCTTTTATCTTCTACTTTTAATTTCATTCAGTTGATGTGAAACTGCTTTGTGTCTCATGCTGCGCACAAACAAGTTATTGTTGTGAAGCACCTGCCTGGTGTAGGGCGTGTTTTTGCTGTCCAGAAACCTGACAAGTGGCAGCATGAAGAGAGGGCAGCAGCAGTCCCAGACTGGGGATCCTGGAGGTAGCGTGTTTGTTTGTTTTCTAAACGCAAAGCTTTCCTCAACACAGCTCTATACAGCTATACCAACAAGTCATGGGTTCGAATCTCAGCTGTGCCGCTCAACCGACGTGCATGTACGTCAAATGAGCGACACAGTCAACCGGGATTCGAACTCATGACCTCTTGGTCCAGCTGTGAAAAGACTTAATGAGATTGGGCTGTTAACAGTCCTGGTTATTCAGCAAAAGAAGTAGGATGGACATAATTACCTTCGCCAAGAATTGGAGAAGGTTATGTTTTCCTGGCCGTGTGTCTGTCTGTCTGTCTGTCAACAGCATAACTCGAGAAAGCTTAGATGGATAATCTTGATATTTGGTAGGTGGGTAGGTCTTAATGAGACCTGGAAATGATTAGATTTTGGACCCCCTAGCGGCTTGTTATGGTACTGCAGCTAAACTTCCGGTTTTGATATCTCATGATCTAGACATGCTAGAAATTTGGATGGTAGATAGCTCTCATGCTGGGGAAGAAGTGACATGAGTTTGGGCCCCCTAGCGGCTTGCTCAGGAACTGCAGGGCTATCTGTTTGAAAATATTCAGAAGAGGATAACTCAAGAACTGGTGGATGGATTGTCGTGATTTTTGGTATGTAGGTAGCTCAAGTGACGCTTGACATAATTATGCGACAATTATGGAAATCTGGATCTAATTTGCATAATTAATGGGGAAATTCTATAAATCAGGTGCATTACATTATAGGACTATTCAAGCTTGTGACATATGTAATTGAGAACGAGAGAAACACAGGCAGATATTGATTATGTAAATTAACACCTAATTTGCATAATTAATGAGAAAATGTTATAATTCCATAATGCTAACTGCCTGGAATTTCATACTTGGGGTATTTGAAAGTTAAGTGAAGGTGAACATCATTAAACATAACTTATTCAAATAAGGACCTCATTTGCATAATTTATGAGGAAATGATAGAATGGCTTTCTTTGTTAAGATAAGGCTGTCTTTTGATGGAGAACATGATGAAGTATAAAATACAATATTATAATACAATATTATAATGTAAATATAATACAAATGAGGATTTTATTTGCATAATCAGAAGGAATCATCTTTGTCAGTCATAAAGATTAACATCATTTGGCGAAGGTATGAGATCGTGGGACTCTAGTTTTATATTTTTTTTTCCACAGGCGCCACACCCATGCAGCAGCCTCAGACAGATTGGCGGTCCGTTGCGCACACCGCTGCGAAAACACCGAACGCTCTGTACGCGCCTAGAGCAGGTAAAAAATAAATTTGCAGATTATTACGTTGCAAAACTCTTTGTTTTGCTTTAATGCTCCTTTCTTACTAGGATACAGCGATCGCTGAGCGCCCGTACAGTGACCAGGATTGGATTTGTGTAATCCATGATTTCAATATTAATGAATATGATGAATATGAAATAATAATATATATGATTTGAAAAGACAACAAAATACACTAGAAGGGGAAATCGAGTTTTATCTATGAACTTAGTTGAGCGATCAACCAAATCTTTGGTAATTAGTCGCAGTAGAAATGAGATCTTAGAGCTAGCTATGTCTATCCTTTCACAGTAGTACCCTAATTACGATAGCAGATCAGAGATATGCGACACGTGTTTTTAGTTACATCAGCATTAAATGTTTATTTAAAACACAAAGTGGCGAGGGTAAACATAATTTTAATATTCTCGTCTTAACAGACGATACGCCCTCGGACGGTAACAAGTGTTGGCGCCATCGCAACAAAGTATGGCAGATCACAGTCCTTGTGTTCGCTGTGGTGATCGTCATTCTTTTGTCTTTTTGTCTCTTTTCGGGTAGGTTTCTTTAAGTTCTTGCACGCATTATGTTTTGAGAATACGTTTCCAGGCTTCAATTGTCACGTTGTTCAGTTACGATGTTTTGAATACAAATACTTAAAAACTTGCTGGTATGTTACATGTCACGTATAAGACGACAATGGCAGTTTTCTCCTATCTTTCTTCAATATAGCCCAAGACGCTGTTGCCAATCAGTCTGCGGAAATGACAAAACAACTTGAGGAGATAAAGCAGCGACTAGCAGAGCTGGAACGTAAGTAACTAGAATTTCTACATGTACGTTGTATTATATCGGAGAACGTACTTTTTGCAGTTTTACAGTTGTGTGTATTGCAATCATGGAAGTGTTATATGTACATGTGCAAAGAAACCTAAAACTCCCCATCATCATTATTCAAACATCCATACATTATGTTTGTTATGTTTCTAATTGTATTCTCCATAATCTCTTGCAAGCTTATGATCACATCTATTTTTCAGAGACATGCGTTTCCTGTGGGCTTCCCGGCCCGCCTGGCCATCCTGGAGAAAAGGGAGCCATGGGGCCAGTTGGCC